GCTCAGCAGACAGGAGGCCAAGCCGCTGTCAGTCCCCCGGGGATCTGGGCTCCTCGGAGGTCAGGAGGGCTCCTGGCTGCTGTCCTCTGGGGCGGGCTGGGAGTCACAGCAGTAGACAGAGTGTGTGAGTTGGGGGCTCCGTGGGACTGCCCCTGGTGCCCTGTGGCCCCCCTGCAGCTTGCTTTCAGGAATGCCAGGGCAAGTGGAGGGGCTGGGCCGGCTGCTCTCTGAGCGTCCTCTGTCCTCGGTCCTGCCTGACGCCTCTGCTCACAGAGAAGCCCTTGCTCTGCAGTGGCCGTGCCTCAGTGCTCCTCACACGCAGTGGACCTTCCACGCAGGCAAGGTGGGGGCCTCTGGAGCCTGGCCCTCACACACAACCATCCAGCCAGCTGTGGGGCGGAGACGGCAGCTTTCTGGGACCTGGGGTCACTGCAGGGGCTGATCATGGTAGGCAATGCCTAGATACCTGGCAGGCGGCATGGCCATGAAGGGGCCGTGCCTCAGTTTTCCCACCGAATGAGGTACATGCGCCCTCAGGCAACTGCCTCACCCACCTGTCACCTGGCACCTTCCAGCAGGTACCTGCCTGGAGGAGCTCTTCCTGGCTTCCAACCAGCTGTGCCACCTGCCGTGGGTGCCTTTTGCAGCCTGCGCACCTGACCAGGTTGGATCTCTGCAACAGAGAGCATCTGTTTGCTGAGCGGGACACCTTCCTGTCCCCAGGGGCCCTCCAGGAGCTGGGGCTGCGGGGAGCTGGCTGGCCACACTGCCTGCTGTAAAACCATGGGCCACCGAGGGGTCTCTTTAAAGCCCTCCAGCCTGGACACACATCCAGGCCTGAGGTGTGTGCGTGAGGTGGAGGAGGACAGGGCTGAGGACTGCTGAAGCTGGGCTGATGTGCTGGTCATGTGACTCTCCATAACTTGGAGACTTAACAAATCCACTATCAGTCTCCATCTTTTTTTTTTTTTTTTGAGACGAAGTCTTGCTCTGTCGCCCAGGCTGGAGCGCGGTGGCACGATCTCGGCTCACTGCAGCCTTCTCCTCCCAGGTTCAAGTGATTCTTGTGCCTCGGCCTCCCGAGTAGCTGGGATTACTGGTGCCCGCCACCACGCCCAGCTAATTTTTGTATTTTTAGTAGAGTTGGGTTTCACCATGTTGGCCAGGCTGGTCTCGAAACTCCTGACCTCAGGTGATCTGCCTGTCTCGGCCTCCCAAAGTGCTGGGATTACAGGTGTGAGCCACCGTGCCTGGCCAGTCTCTGTCTTTTAATTGGTATATTTAGACCAATGCATTGCCATGTAATGTGATAATGGGTTTCGTGGGATTAACATCTGCCACATTCGTAACTGTTTTTCTATTTGTTGCCCTTGGTCTTAGTTTCTATCTCCCTTTGTTTTCTGCTTTCTCTGGTTTCAGCTAAGCATTTTATATGATTCCATAGTCTTTTCTTTTGTAGCATATCAATTACACTTTCAGATAGAGAAAAAAAAAAAAAATAAGTATATATATTTTAGCGGTTGCTGTAGAGTTTGCAGCTAATCCAAATCCACCTGTAAGTTACACTGTGTTGCTTCTCAGGTCACATGGTAACTTGTAACTGATGACCCCCGCTTCCTCCCGCCTGTCCCTTTTAATGTTGCTCTTATATTTCACTCACCCGTAAGCGAGAGTCACCCAATACACTGTTAGTATTCTGATTTTGAGCAGTTTTCTTTTCTTTTTCTTTTTTCTTTTTTTGTTTGAGATAGGGTCTCACTCTGCCGCCCAGGCTGGAGTGCAGTGGTGCAGTCTCAGCTCACTGCAGCCTCAGCCTCCCTGGCTCAGGTGATCCTCCTTCCTCAGCCTCTTGGGTACCTAGGGCTATACGCACATGCCACCATGTCTAGCTGATTTTTTT